CAAAGAAGATGAGTGGTACAAGAAGGTGTGGTATATATACATAATGAAATGCAATTCAGCTATCAAAAAAGATAAACTTATGCCACTTATAGCAATATGGATGAAACTGGAAGGGACTTTGCCAAATGAAGTTAGCCAGAAGGGGAAATACTGAAAGGAATCAGGTACATGGGGAAAACAGAGAAACCAAAAGGTCAAAGACAACCTTTAAGGCAAACCCTTGACAGCATCTAGGAGAGGAGGGGTTTGGGGAGGGCAAGTGCGCAGGCAGGAACACGAGGAGGGAGTACAACAGATCTTGTGTCAATGGAGGACTGCAGGTGCTCTGTGCGGGAAGGGCTGCGGTGACCACACAGGAGGGAGAAATAATAATAAGGATGTAAAATAATGGTGCTTCCATAAAACATAATAAATAACATAGAGCAATAGATGTATCTGACATAAAAAACAACACAACAGCACTAAAGCCTACTCCCTCAAGTCCGGGTAAATGGAAACAGGAGGCACAACAGAAACTAAGTGGACGGGGTTCAATCCTTTCTCTTAAGTGAAGGAATGAGTTTATCTATCTGCCTGCTGTGGTTGCTTCAAACCTTTAGTGGGCAGAATCAATTCTGCTTCTCAGCTAGGCTGTGCTTATCAGTGCCAGCAAAGCCTGTCCTGGCCTCGGTTCTGTAAACCTGTTTTAGTGAGTGGTTTAGTTCATTTTTATTAGCCGCACTGAAATGCCAAGGTCCATCTCAACCCCCCACTATACAGCCAATACACCCGCAGGCAGTCGGAGGAGCCTCAGTAGCAGCTCCTCGGCAGTGGGAAGTCTCCGCAACCCGTGGAAGCCAGCAGCCAAGTCTGTGCTGCACGCCTGGAGGCCTCCCCTTCCACCCTGAGGCATAGGAGACTGGGCCTATCAAACCGCACTGCGAACACATTGACCAATAAAAGATGAGCTGAGGATAGATTTCTCACTTGAAATTGGGGGAAGTGCACAATAATTCTTGGTGCTGAAAGAAAAGAACTGTCAATCAGGGATCCTAAATCTAACAAAAATATCCTTGAAGAATGAAGGAAAAATAAAAACAGCAGACCACGAAACACTAAGACAGCAAACAAAAAGAAAATGGTAGCAGAACAGTGGATGGTGAAAGTTGAGATAAGCACAATTTAAGTATCCTTTACCTCATAAGTTTCTTTAATCAGAGTTTATTGTTGCAATAAAATTTTTCATACAATCATGTGCTGCTCAATGAATGAAGAATAAATGCTTAAGAAATCATTTTTAAGAAAATCATTTTTAAGAAATCATAAAGGGAAAGAAAAGTAAATTAAACTGAAGTTATAACACTTTAAACACTTTACTCAAAGTTGTAAAATGTTGATACCAGTAGACTTTTGATAACTTAAGCTAGAATCACCACCAAAAAATTTTAAGAAAGCAATATACTTAAAAACATTATCAATAAATATTGCAGATATATTAAAATGGAGTTGTATGAAATGTTAAAAACCCTAGATGATATCCTTCAATAGGTGAATGGTTAAATGATGGCATGTCATCTATGGAAATGCTGCTCAGAAGTAAAATAGAATAAACTTGATACATGAAAAGTCTCAAATGAATCTCACTGGAATTACACCGAGTGAAAAAAGCCTGTCCCAGAAGGTTGTGTCATGTACTCCCACTCAGATGAGTGTCTTGGATGACAAAATTATAAAATGGGGAAGCTGCCCAGGGGCAGGCTGTGGGTGCGGAATAGGTGTGGTCATACAGGGCCAGCACAACAGCCCTACAGTGAGGTGGCACAGCTAAGGACCATGACTTGCTCTGTCCTGGCTTTGTGAACTTACACTTGTATCCTCTCCCTGTACAAAACCTACGGGAAGTATTCCATGTTCTGAGTCCAGGGAGTCTGACCAGTGAGTTACCGAAGCTCGCGGTGGTCAGTGGGACTCCCATCACACTTGCTTCTAAGTAAGGAATCTCTTTTATTTTGATTCTTTCATCAAGTTCACATCTTACTGCCCTTTACAGACTTTGTGCAACATTTGCATGGTTTAAAGCACCTGGTCATATTTCTGAACATTAGGTAATTTTTTCCATGAGGTCCACAGGGACCTTGGTATATGATTGCAAGTGGGAAAACACGGAATAAAAGCAGGTATTGGCAATTTTTCCATTTCCATTTGTATCTGAATTTTTAATATAAATGTGAGGACATAAAGTAAGTCAAAATGTTTCAGTGAACAAGTGTCAGCACTTCAATTTTATACCAATTATAAATCAACCTATTAAATTTTTCTGGCTAGGGTCAACATTTAGATTTGTTCAAAACAAGTAAATTTGGCCCTCCCTGGTGGCACAGCAGGATAAATCACAGCACTAAGAAGCTAAAGCCACTTCAGCATGAGTTCAATCCCCACCTGCCCAGGAGGTGACCCACATGGCACAGCAGACCTCTCCTGACCTGCCCGCTGCTCCTCTCAGCAGTGTACTTCGTGGATCTGCCTGTTCTGCTCCCCACTCTGTCTCTGGTGAGGCTTCTCACCGCCTCATTGACCCTGCAATTCTGGCCCGTACCCCAATTCTGTATACATAAATAAATCTTAAAAAAAAAAAGTAAATTTGTTATTGACAGCAACTAACTGGTATTTGCAGTGTTTTTTATCATACAGCACATTTCAGCTATTCGTTACACTTTTCTGAGTTGTCCCACATGCAAGTATTTTTGCATGGTGTTTGATTTCAATGCTACTCTGTAAGTTTGCTATTAAAAATTCATTTAACTATTAAAAAAGAAAAATAAAGTGCTTGAACAATCCCCAAAGTTAATTGCAAAGTCTGACTTGTTCAGTTATGATCATGAGGCCATCGGCATCACCATTTCAAAGGAGGGCTGCAGACAAGGAACGTGTCTGCCTCTGTATTGCTAAGACCATGTCACCAGCCCCGCGATGGTGTGGGGCTGCAAAACCTGGCTACTACTAAATAGTAGAACCTCACCATTTCATATAATACCATATCCAAGCTGCCAAAGGGGAAAAGACAGCTCCCAGCAAGCATGGCTTCCAGTCCCTTGTTAATCGCCCTCTGAGAAACTGCACACAGCTTTGCACAGATGTGACTTAGTGCATGTCCATAGGGGAGAAGTCCCAGGCCTGCACTGTATAAGCCTCTTAGTTATGCTGTGCCTACCTGGAGGCACACTGTGGATAATTTAGTGGCAGCCTTAGAAAATGATGCGATTTAAACAGTACACATAGGAGGAATTCTTTACAAAATTCACTCCCATTCACATATAGTCACTTAAATTCTCTTGGAAAGAAAGGTGCCAAGTTTAGTCTGACAAAAATTACACACAAACCACAATCTTCCTTCTATTTTCTACCACAATGTAACTATTTAAATTGTTGATTTTGTTACTCATGTGCTTTTATAGTCACTGACTCCTGCCCCCACAACCAAAACCTGGGAGCTATTATCTCATTTTCTAAGAAAAAGCTTTGTGGCCCTCCCTGGTGGCGCAGCAGGTTGAAGCATAGCACTAAGAAGCTAAAACCACTCCAGCATGAGTTCTAACCCCACCTGCCCTGGAGGTGACCCACATGGCACGGTAGACCTCTCCTGACCCACCTGCTACTCCCCTCAGCAGTGTACTTCATCCTGTTCTGCTCCCCGCTCTGTCTCTGGTGAATTCTTTCACTGCCCCTGCACCTCTGGCCTGTCCCCTACTTCTGTATGTACAAATAAATAAATCTTTAAAAAAAAAAAAAAGCTTTGAGTTCCATCACCATAGAGAACTACGTTACAAAGGTGAAGTGCTCTATAAAAGATACACACTAATCTTGAAATGGCTTAGAATCAGAGGTGGATAATGTGAAAATAAATGTGTTCCCTATTTTACCATTTCCTCAAGTGAAATTGCTGATTGCAAATTTGTACAGAATGTACATTTGTCCTATACTGACAGTGGTAACTAAGACAAAGGTCCAATTGCCACCTAAAATAGGAGCTTACAGGACAGTATCAAATTTCTCTCACATAGGGATTTTATCTTCTTGAGAAAATCCTGACACTTATTTATAATGCTCCTGACTACATCTCATCTATAACCCACTCAGAATAAGGATGGTACATGTTTTGTAAGATCATCCAGAGAAATCAGAGGTATAGTATGCTAGAATCTAATGGAGCTGCTTGGCTCTCCCCTTCTCTCATTAAAACAAGCACTCTTATGAGGGAAGGGGGGCTGTGAGGGGTAGAAAGAGAGAAGTACTTGCATTTTTTTTAAAGAGGAGCATTTCAATTTTGTAAGCATATCTTCTGTGAATGCTGATGCTGTTCTCGTTAAATGAACACTAACTGCTTGAAATCCCAGGCACACACTCGGTTCATTCCCTTTCTCCTCAGGCAGTTACCACAACCCACATTTTCATTTTAACCGTCCTCATCACTGGTATCATTTAATACTTGAGGGTTTGTTCAAGTCAACATCAATCTTGCTGATCCTGCAAACACTTATTTTGTTGACACAACAGTCTGAATCTATAGCTAGTAAGTGTAAAGAATCTAGAACTATGCCTTTGCCCAGCGTGACCAGGTGTTAACTATTACTGTGAGTCACTCACTCAGTCCTGCCAAGAAGACACAGCCGGAGAGATGGCCAACGTGGGCCCTTCACAGGACCCCACCCTTGTCAATGCAAGGCTATCTCACCTGTCCCCCTGCCGGCCATGCACACTGCACCTTCTCAAAGACATATAACACTCCAACTCAGTATGAAGATGAAAATATTTACCTAGAGACATCTAGTTGGACACAGCTGACTCTTACTTCCTCTTCAACAAAGAGACCTTTACCAAAAGTGAACCCTAACTAAAAAGAAAAGGAGGAAGCTTTACCCTGAGAAGGAGCAATGAAAATCATCCAGAAATAAAATTCTCTCATCAGGCAATGTTTAAATGTCCTTGGCGAGTCTAAATCAAGAAATAAAATGTCTCTTTACCTGATTGGAAAACCGCATGCTCACATTACGTTGATTCTGTAGTGGAACATAGCGCTGGACAGGATCAATGTCCATGGGGCTGATTAGTTCATCAACTGAAAAAAACCAACAACAAAGAATGGAAGTGGTGGTGAAACAATTAGGGGTAGGTGGGTGAGTGACTTTCAAGGGTATGAGGTTTTTTGGGTAGTGATAAAAATTTCTATAGTTAATTGTGGTGATACTTGTATAACTCTTTAAATACAGAAGTCTGCTCTTCAAATACAGTTTGAAGGGCACACTTTAAACTGTTGAGATGGATGGCATATAAATTATACCTCACTAAAACTGTTTTACAAATAATGCATTTACGGCCCTCTCTGGTAGTGCAGTCTAGCACAGCATAGACTACGAAGCTAGTTATAGCCACTTGAGCACAAGTTAAATCCCCGGCCAGGGAGCTGACCCACATGGCGCAGCAGATCTCTCCTGTCTCACCTGCTGCTCCCCTCAGCAGTGTACTTCATCAACCTGCCTATTCTGCTCCCTACTCTGTCTCTGGTGAATCTTCTCACAGCCCCTGAACTTCTGGCCTGTACCCTGGTTCTGTATGCATACATAAGTAAAAATCTTTTTAAAAAATGCATTTGTTCTAAAGAAAACTTATACTCCTATGTTTACTGAAGCACTATGCACAATAGCCAAGATAAGCAACTCAGATGCCCCAAAACACACGAATGGATCAAGAAGATGTGGTAAAAATAATGCACTTGTATTCTCAAGTAATGAAACCATTCACTAAGAGGAGACAACATGGGGGCTCCCTGATGGCACACTGGGTTAAGTCTCAGCACTATGAAGCTATTCACAGCCACTGCAGCATGAGTTTGATTCCCGGCCAGGGAGGTGACCCACATGGTGCAGCAGACCTCTTCTGTCTCACCCACAGCTTCCCCTTAGCAGTATATGTTCTGCTCCGCACTCTGTCTTTGTTGAATCCTCTCACCACCACCACCCCACTATACCACCACTTTTATATGCATAAATAAATAAAATAAGTCCTGGGGAAAAAAGGGACAAAGTATTTCCTGATACTGAATTCTAAACAAGACCTCTGAGATGGGGAGTCCCCGAGATGGGGCACCAATCACCATGAGGGCAATGCCTCCAACTGATGCTGACTTGTGCACACGGAAGCCCTTCCCATGCGTTCCTTGACGTGATTTTGATTCAATCCAATGATATAGCAAGGGGGGCAATTTAGAGTGTTTGGGATGGGAGGGTGGAAAGAAGGTACCAAGGCAGACAGCGTTCTGTCTTCTGCTCTAACACACATGAGTGCTCGGGTGCACTGGAGGCCAACTGTAGCAGACTCTCGTGGGTCTGCAGGGAATTATGCTGGGGAGCCCACCTCCCTGAAATGTAATTCCACCTAACCTCCCAGGAGTGCAAAGTTGGCCATATCTATGCAAATTTGGAGAGCATACTCTCTTATCAAGCAGCCACACATCTCTGAAGTTACCTTAGTTATGTTCAGACATGTGAAAGTTAATTGAATATTAAAAAAAGAATTCAGCTTCTCAAGTAAGACAGCACACTTTATTTTTACAGCTCTGAAGCTATGAAAATGTGTTCATTTCATTTTTATCTTCACTTCTGAGCTAATCATGTAGAAGCAACACCATGCTGAGTTTTGTATAAATCCACTTGTGTACAGTATTTACTTAAAAAAAAAATGGACCTCATTTCCCAGAGCTTTTTAGGTGCAGCTTTTAGGGAGTGAATAACTCTGAAAAAATAGAGCAGAGACCTAAGTACGAAAATGTTTGTAAATTTTTATGCTGCGTTGGGTATATTTCTCTTTATAATTTTACTGCGGGGTAATTTCTGGCATGTGGCAATGTTATCCAGTAGACAAAATCACCAAAGACATTTATAATACAAGTGACATTAATGATGGAGTAACAAGGATAAGGAGGAGCCACAGAAGCCACCACAGTGTCTGCAGCAGCAGAAGCAGCAGGAACGGACCCAGTGCTCACTACACTCCCGGCATGGTTCACACTTCACATGGATCATGTTATTAATCTTACAAGAACCTTCTATTTTATAGGCAACAAAATGGCAGCAATGTGTGGTTAGGAAACTTATACTCGCTAGTCAGTGACAGTGCTAACAATCAAACACTGGTAGACCCTCTGGGGTCTGGGTGCTTAACCAGGTATGAATCTTGCACATGCTACACAATACAGAACGCTATCAGGAGCAAAAAAATAAACAGTGGAGGTCATGATACATGATACTTTCCTACCCAAATCAGGGAGCATATTACAGAACATTCAGAATTCTCTTTCTCAAAAAAATATACTTTCACAAAATTTGAAACAAAATGTTATAGACTTCATTATGGCAAATATAGACATTTAACTTTCATTAATATCAGTTCAGCTCATGATGTAGGGTTGATTAGTGCACTGATCTTCTAAATAGCACCAAATTATTTCCCTATCTCATTTGTCTGATCATTGAGTTGTGAAAAAATTTCCACTACCAATAAGCATTTTACATAATTAATGTCTCACTGTCATTCTAGAGAGATGAAATACTATATTATTTTGTTATTTATAAGTTATTGCAAATCAAGAAATCTCATATCCTTGGAAAGAACAAATGCTAATCTATTAAAATTGGTAGCAATCACATTAAGCAAATCTTTTGAAAAAGCTTTTTTTTTTTTGCATTTCCTTCTCATTTTTCTCATCGTCATACTAGCGCATCTGGCTTCATGTTGCAGCCCACCCCAAGTACTCAACCGAGAGCTGTCCCGACCACCAGCACAGCACTCAAGGGTCTTACAAAACAAAGTAAGAAATTGGTCAGCTATCTTGGCAAATTAATTGCCATAATCACGGATTTCCTAATGGTGAAACTGACAAATAACTTAAAAAGGTCAAGTTAACAATTTTTTAAATATTGCATTTTAATCATTGAAGAAACAAACAAACAAAAAACCGGAACACCTTTCTGTGACAATTCTATGGCCCTGGTTTTCTGACAAAGAATGACAAGCTTGCAAGAATTTATACCTGACCATTATGGAATATTATAATGAAAATAAAAGAACAGGCCCTCCCTGGTGGCCAGTGGGTTAAAGCGCAGCACTGCAAGCTGGCCTCAGCTTCTTCGTGAGTTCAACACCCCCCCACTCCTCCCACCCCCCTCCCGGAGCTGACCCATGTGCTACAGCAGTCCTCTCCTGTCTCACCTGCTGTTCCCCTCAGCCTGTTCTGGTCCCCACTGGTCTCTAGTGAGTCCTCTCACTGCCCCAACACCTCTGGCCTGTACCCCAGTTCTGTATGTACAAATAAATAAATCTTTA